ATATAGACACAAAGGAGGAAAACAGGTCTTTCTTTTCTGAGACCAATTGGTAAAACTCTGGAATTCAAACATTTAAATACATGCTAAAATAAAATAAAATCTAACTTTTAATTTAACACAAAAAACAAGGCAACCCCTCTAAAGATCATTTTGTAAAAACAGAGAAATCAGAAATTAAAGTGCAAAGAAAACTATTTTTTATTGTGTCAAACACTGCTGCTTAATGAGAGAAATGTCTTTGACTGTGTCGCAATTCATGGGCTGACCACGTAGACGTTGACCACGGTCTACGTGGGCCGTAGGCCGCTCAAGTCGGCTCAATAAACGGCTGTGAAATGACGCTCTGCCTCATTGCCATGGTAATACGTTTTATGTCGCATCGCTTCAGWTGTTTTTTTCAAGGTATAAYTTAAAATTCAGTTTTAAMGTTACAGGTAAATAAATAAAAAGCATTAATAATTTGGGTTTAGCTCCAGTATCAGTACTTGTAAGTGTATTTTMTTTGACATCTCATTACAAYAAAACTGGTCAGCTAAGTTGTTTAAATTACATTTTTTGGTCCATGATAAATTTCGAAACTACATCATAAAAAAACTCTGCCATGAAATAAAAAAATAAAATAAAACTTTGCCGTCTTTGTTTTCCCRTTTAATTTGTTGATGGGGAAATGAATTCTGGGATACCATTGGCGGCAGCTACAACACACTACCCCATTACCATAGTTATGGTTTACATCACATCATCCATAAATGCCTAAAACATTCACGTCATTTCACAGGAGGTATAACTTCATAAAATTCWGTATATTTTTGAAAATGTAAATACAGTGGACATGTGGGTTTAGCTCCAGTATCATCACTATGGCTTCATAAAAATGGAAAGCTTTTTTTACTACATTTTGTCATGTAGTATTTTGTTTAATTTGACTTTCACTGTTCATGTTCGTTGTTATATGGTCTGCTCAAAATGTGTAGTGTACTTGAACGCTCACCTGTACGAGTTGTAGGGCTGTGTATTGGCAAGAATTTGGCGATACGATACATATCATGACAGAGGGGTCACGATACGATATATCCCGATATATTGCGATTCTATAAGCAAGGCAATATATTGCGATTTTTTTAGTCCAAAAATTCTATTAAAATAAAACCTCTTACTGCGGAAAAAAATGAAAAACCAAAATTCATTGTCTCAGAAAATTCTAATATTACAGAGACATACTTTTGATACATTTAGCTGTGTTCTGCTTTGTAT